ATACTGAACAACTAACCTGATAAAGTTTCAGCTCAGCTTCAGCTGTATATTCCGAGAAAAAAACAGCATTCTAGGATCTCAATTTCAAATCAAAAGTTGCTGAATCATGTTTCGAATTGTTTTGAATTGCAGCTATACGCGATGTCGCGCACTGATCCGACGAATTATAGCAACCGCGCGCGCCTGTGCGTCGTGCCAATGCTTGCGCGCGCTGCGCTGAATAACAAAACGAACTACTAATTTAAATTTTCCTACAGTGCGTCTTAAGACGCACCATTGGAAAGGCCTTCTTTCGTTGATTACTTCAAAATGATAGCTTGCCAGAAAGATTAATTTCACAGGGAGTTTAGTCCACTTACTATCTTTCAACCAAGTATGTTTTTCAACAATAAGGCAAAGTAAAAAAAAAAAAGAAGTTTCTCGTCCCCGCCCGCTTCCTTTTTGGAGGCCGCCTGGATTTTTTTATTATTTTTTATTTTTGAAAAATGTAGTAGAAACACACCGAAAAAGTCTACAAATTCATCGGAAAATAAATACCAATACCAATACAACTCTAAATGACACTGTAAATATGTTCAGTTCTCTTGTCCAACTTGTCTTTCATCTTTAAAAGTGTCTTTGAACAGTGGAACACCAACGGTTGCAGGAATTTTGAAAAGGCGGTCATCTTGAAAAAAATTAAAAAATAAAAAATAAAAAACGCCGCTTCCTCCCTTTTTTCAAAAACCCCGGACGAGAAACTATTTTTTTTTTTTTACTCGGCCTAATACGCCAGTTACTTTTTCGGATGGCTGCAAATGATGGACTATAGCTTTAAGATCCTGCAAGTCAGTCTTCTATGAATAGGTACACATGCATGTTTGATGCCATGCACGGAGGCATAATGCTCTTGACATGAGCGAGTGCGTCTGTCATCACATCTATTATTAAAGTGCATTCACATAGAACATTTGGCATGAGGTGCACATATGTGATGTACACTATTGATAAAACAGCTATGATGAGTCTACATGTACCCCCAGTTAATCCTAATTAGAGAACCAGCACCCGATTTTATCAAACTCTTCGTAACGTACGATGCATCGCAGCGATGCGACGCGTCGTACAGTAAATAGTCGTCTGATATTCAACAAAGAGTTGTCGGATCTCAGCTCGAAATTTGTTAAAACGTAAAACAAAATGGCGGCCGTGTGATGCAATTTTGAAGGAAAACAAGCTCTCATTGGACTGTATAGCTACTTTGAAATTCCAACTCTAATATTCCAGTCTAATTCATAATTATTCAATGAATTTTCTATTTACAACTTTACACACATTGCCTCGGTATTATAATCTCATTTATGTAATGTTTATGGCATAAAATGTGGCTTAGAAAATTACTCTTCTTATTTTGCGATGACCACTAGACAGTTTGTCAAGGAACTTACGAGGCGTTTAACACATCGCAACTTTCGTGAAATGGATGATATGCTGCGTCGCGAGTTGCGATGTGTTACACGTCGTATTAACTCGAGTTGCGACACGTCCCAGCGCTTCGTGAAATCGGGTGCATGAAAACTTATCTGAAAGAAATCCAATTTATCTCCAAATTACAGGGACAGATAACGCTTTTAAGCACCAACAACTGCACATTGCTAACTTGAGTTCATAACTCACATCTAACAACTGCGCAGTTGTAAAAACCTTTCTTGTCGTAAAATATATTTTTCAAAAAAGAGCAGCGACGTGACATGACTTATTATGCAGCATATAGGGAGGTTGTTGGTTACCAACTAAAAAGGCGGCGACGATCATCGTGTTCAAAGGCCGCTGGCATTCACGCTTTGAATGGTCGAGGCTTGCGGTCACAGTGCTGTAGCTATAGACATTCCCGAGGGATTGGTATGTTAATGGTCAAAATGTAAATCGCCCAAGAGTTCTGACTCCTTGGGTCCTTGCTCTATGGTCTGAGCAAACTGCTCATGTAACAGACAGGCTCGCATGATGCTCAAATGCACTGAAGTCACAACATACATGTGGGCATGAGTGTAGTGTGTGACTTCCATTTAATGTCGCAATGGAGACAGGTTTTATCATTACGTTTCCAGATGATGCGTCCTATGCACTAGTTAACAGCTAAGGCAAGGCCAAGACATTTGGGTCAGCATCAGGTACAATAAACAACAATTTAGAAGCAGGACAGACGTTTTCAGTCTCATCATTCAGGAACTTGGCAATGTACATGTAATCCACACGCCGGAGTAGGTGGGAATTGAACCAGGATCACCACTAACTAGGACTCTGCAAATTGTATTTTTTAACATTTGGTCACGATCTGGCTATAGTAGGGTCCGAGGCTCTGAGCGAGAACCTTTTCTTTTGAGAGCCTTAAATCATCATGCAACTATTAAATGTTAATTCATAAATACCTCAGACAGTTTAACTATTCTATTGGTCGAGAGCCCGTCACGTGGCCGGTCTTAAACAGATGATAAAGACATGGCTAGCTGGTGTCACAATAAAAGGTGGACTCCTAAAAATCCAGTGCCTCTTATCGTTTCATTGGTTGAACGTTCACAATCCTCACGTAGGCATGCGCAACACTACAAGCGAGTCAGAATTTTATAGTTCTAAATTCAAAACGCAACGCGCCAGGTGCGTTCTGCGCGACATCGCGCAGAACATGCTACGCGTGCGTCAATCTCCATAAAAGGGTTGTTTACATCTTACTCGCCAGCTGAACACTCCATTATTTTGCTAGAGGGATGTTTCAAAAAGCATGAAGTGAACTTGTTGAACAAAATCGGGATATTTTGAACGAATTATTTGATTTTTTTTTACCGAAAAAGGTATTTATGAATGGGAATAAACATGTGCTCGGTCAGTATTTATCGCTCTGTTTAAGACCGCTTAGAGTCTGGGTGCTGATAATTACCCTCGCCTCCGGCTCGGGTAATTATCAGCACCAGACTCTAAGCGGTCTTAAACAGAGTGATAAAAACCTCCGGAGCACACATTTATTCCCCTAATAAAAAGGTGATTTGTATAGTCCTGGTTACTTGGACTAGGTCACCAAAGTAGGGGAATGCGAGGAAAGAACCACCTGACCTTACTACAGGGTGTGAACGCTCAATACAAAAGTTGCGTATCGGAACAGATACATGTGTACGCATACGTTTAGCTATCTGCAGCCGTTATCAAGTGTTTCGCTATTTTGCATTGTACATGTATACATGTACATGCACAAGTTCGCATACACTTAGTTACAATGTATCAGAATGCAGCATTAATCCAAACTGGCAGCCTCCGATAGAAGCTTCTTGTCTTAAGCTTCTAATCCTTTTTGGAAAAACAAATATTCATCCTCTTTGTTTATCAGCAAAGAGGGATAAAATCAGCACTTTACTAAGTGTGTTTTACATTGATGTACCGGTATAGCGTGCAAAATACCTATGCCATGCATACCCAAACGTGTTCTACATAACACCCGAGGACCGACACACAAAGGGAGAACAACAGATCCTTTCAGTCTTCGGGCGTTGGGTCTTTTGTTGGAAACGGTCCTCTGTAGTAGGTTTGTGTGCTTAGTCTTCGGGTGAGTGTTATATTACAGGGACAAAGGGAAACACAAAGCAATGTCCTCGGGATTAAAGTAAAACAAGAGTGCGTGTAGCAGCTAGCGTTTGTGTGTGACATCAATTGACCACACAAACCGATGATCTATCCAGCATACAATGTACTAACTGTACCCGTTCGCTTGCGAACCTCTTTGTTGTGTCTTGGCCACTGAACAAGCACAGGCTGGCGAACAAGCACGAATTAATTAGTCTGAAAACATCACTGCGTTGCAGTTACATGATCAATGTATGCCCTCCCAGACTGCAGTACTTATCACAAGAATCCATCATCGACACGAGCAGACAACACACCCATGAAATTAAACCCAAGCTCATTAATATAAGATTGCTATGTACACATGTCCAACACTCATTTCCACTGACCCAAGTGCTGTGCAGCCAAATTGCTTTGAGCTGGCTAGAGTTGAACAATCGATGGCGCTATTACACATTAATGGTGAGGGTTATACATCACAGGACTTGGAACGCAGGAGATTTTGTTTGGGCACTTGGCAATTCATTGCACATAGACAATAAATGTAACATTACTCTTATTTGTGTAAACTGGTCATTTTAAATAAATTCATAAAATGCTATCCAATTAGATATGCCATGCAAGTAGAATGCCATGGTCCAGTGTGTACAGTGTTTGACTTATGTACGATGGCCCGCGGGTTCGAATCCAGCCAGGAACATGGTGTTTGTGCCCTTGGACAAGACACTTAAGCTACAATTGCCTCTCTCCACCCAGGAGTATGAATGGGCACCTGTGAGGGTAGAGGACTGAATGTGCGCTGATATCGGCTATCGCATGGTCTCCTGGTAAGATGAACGGGGAATAACTGTTAAGCGCTTTGAGATTGCTGACACGATGGAAAGCGCTATATAAGCAAAGGAAATGTATTTGTGAGCTCACTTAACAAATGATTCATTTCTGTCCTTTGGAAATCATCAGTTTGAAATGGTCCTTGAAGTAAAAAAAATGTGTGCTCAGTCTATGGGCTTTGTGCCATCTTTGTTGCTGAAGTTCTTCATCTACTTCTTCATGCCCAACGAGTGGAGAGTGCAAATCCAGTTCGCCAACATCATTCTCACCATTCTCGAGTGTTGGTTCTCGCCATTCTCGAGAGCTAATGTTAAGCACTATTTCATTGCGTGGATGCGCGTGCGCATGGAGATTTCTATTGTTACGTCACAACGCACGTAAAATAAGCAACTTTTTCCTCTGGGGTTAAGCATGCTGTTGCTGTGTTTACTGCTTGGGGCCTGTGTTTACTGCTTGAAATAGACGGAGGCTCTGTTAGCAGAAAATCATTTGCTTAGCAGCGCCATGAAATTGGCCTCAGAAGCTGAGATTCGGAAACCCCAAAGAATACACTTTTTATAGTAACCTCAGATACCTACCTAATTTGGCTGTGATTGCATTGAGGATGGAGTCAGAATCCCTGAGCATACATGGGGTAGTGGTGCAAATCTGGATGTGGTATTTGCCAACAGGATTCCTGTCAACGATAAGGAACAAATGAAATGAGCTATTGAGTTGAGAAGAAAATGTGCAAACAGCTTCAAAATTGCGAAACAAAAACAAACTGGGCATTAACCCTATCCCTCCACGGTATTTTGGTTGAAACCCTGCTAAACGTAACCAACATGCAACACTTGTCAAGATGACAAGCCTGCCCAGTGCAGCAAGATCCATCAGGTCAAATATACCTAAGGTCAAACTGCCACAGAGTCTGTGGTCACCCGTTGCAGCAGGATACAACCGTAGCATCGTTCAATGGGAACTCTCATTGTTTCAGAGAGCCACGAAGCTCCTATGGGCTCCATGCGCCAACGAAAGAGGGCGCCCTTTTACCTAGCAATGATGTCCCATGGGCAGGACATTTCACTGGTTTGACGCGCACCATTCTTTGTGTGTGACGCACGTACACCAGTGGATTTGTACTATGCACACGCAGTGGCTGCGCTTTGCGGCAAATGAATTGCAGTCAGGCAAGATGGCGTCGGTCGGTCACCCCCAACTATACTTTCCTTGCCGGTGAGGGGGTACTTGTGAATGGAGCGGATAAGAAAGTGCACAAGTAAACAAAGCTTGACATCATTATGTCCCTGGTCTATTGGTGGATAGTACCAAGGAAGTAAGTACCCAGAGATTAGCTCCTAAATTCCCAGCAATGCAATAGTTATGATTGCAAGTACGATCACTGATACTGTGGTACCATTCTTTAGAACATTCACGTCATACGTACAATCCCGTGGGACAAATTTCCCAAAGAATTGTTCTTCTTTTTGGGTCTCTATAAGACCTGCTCCCATGAAACCAGGACAAAGTTGCGGATGTGATTTTGCACAGAGGGCATGTGGAGTCATTCTGGGGTGGAACTGATCATTTTGAGGTTTTGATAGTTTCTGAATCAGCAAATATAAATCTACAACCGCTCAAAGTATGAATAATTCCATTTTTCAGTTGATTTATTTAGTGAGAATACATTTCGTTACGCATGTTTATCTCATAATTTGGTTGTAAGAAATGTATCACTTAATCCTTTCTCCCGGGCGTGATAGGATCTCAGTCAGGAATTTCAAAATGCTAAAACCTAAAAAGCAACATTTGTTAAATCTGTCCAGGTTTTTAGGGAGCAGGTCTTGTATGTGTATATGGGCAATTCCACGGTTACTAACGCTACATTTTTGATGTACCTTTGAGTTTCCTTGGGCTGTAATTACCGCACTGAAAAGGTTTAATAACTGTTATCCCCATGGTAGATAGAGTAGACCTAGACCTACGTAAGCACCAAAGATGACATCCAGAAAAATTTGTTATGTATGATAAACAAGACGCACAAAATCGGTTACTCACGTTACATTTTCGTAACGTGAGTAACCATGGAATTGCGCATAAGATGTAATCAAGCAGATTTTATATAACATTGTTTCTTCCAGGGCAGGGAGTGCAACCTACTTGTCCCTCTGTTCTGGTGGAAGCTGAAGGAGGTAGCCAAAACAACCCCAAACCTTGAGATTTTGCACCTACTTCCCCTCAAACCAAGTTGTATTTGTATACTACCTTAAGACTCAGGGTCTTTTACGTAGGTCCTACCTGTTAAACATTGTGTAGAATGTGGCTACTTCATACACCCTCATACGAGGCATGCCTAAGATGTCGGCTACTTTATTCATGGCTGATAGGGGTACCCATCCATGCTGTCGCTGGGCTAGATCAAGTACTGGGATGACTGCCGCTGCTGTGTGCCCCTTGGGGTAGTTGGCTACAATGTCATCCACTCTCTGTAGGGTCAGACATTTGGAAGATTAATAAAAAAAAAACCAGAATTTAAAATTCTTGTAGTCTGATAGGCCTACTTCTTTTGCTTGCTTTCTTATCAGGAAAAAAACACAGCACCTTATTGTATGGCAATGGATAGTTCAATTTATATGACCCTGTCTCCTATATATCAAAGTTCTATAGGCTATCGACGTTCTGGCTGGAATCAGACTCTAAATCTGCCTTAAGAGATTTTGAGGCTGAAATTCAGAATATATTGGATTAGGCCACACAAAAAAGTCTCCAGTTTCTGGTATGGAGCTTGCCCCAAAAGTGCTGCAGCGACGCGTTTTTTTTTTTCCTTCCTTTTTTTCTTCTTCAAATGTCGGCTGATGTTGCGGATGACGGTTCGATCCCTTTAAAACCCTCAAAAATATCCTTCAGAGTGGAGCTTGAGGTGACCTCAGTAAGGCCATAAGGCTTGAGAATTCTGCACCCACTTACGATCTCATCCTACACAAACATTCTTCGGGAAATTTGGATAGTCAAGACAAATCAGAGAAAACGGTAACGTCAGACCGACCATACAGCGACATCGACATCGTGCATGTGCTGCCAGGCTGGTCATAAGTCTGCTCCCTTACATATTGCGCTAATTAGAAAGCGTTTACAGGTTCCTGTTACACGACCATCGCTCCCTCAGTCTGGCTTCCAGACGCACAATTACAAAATTACAACACCGTCTGCAAATGGTGCCCGACTAGACTAAATTCAGTGCGAAATACATGGGAGCCCAGAGAGGCTACATAAAGCTTATACTCGATCATAACCCCATCTAACAACACGTTAAAATTGTGCAGCAGCAGGATTCCAGTCAAACCAGTGAGTTTTGCGGTTTTGAGACATCATCTTACATTGAAAAAAAAACGTTTAAATTTTGTTGACGCGCATGGCTACGGCAACACGCGCAGACCAGAAACCGCAGCCTTTTTTGGGGGGGGGGGGCGCCTTACTGCAAGGTTGCATACTCATCAACCATTAACTACCAGATAACTTGTACCTTGAGGTTCTCTTGGGTGAATTCAAACGGAGTGTCTGGGTTGTTCTCTGTTGAGTCTCGATGCTGCAGAGAAAATAAATGTAAAAGGAAAATGCTTTTTAGCTGAAATTATTCTGCACACACACCTTTATCAACAAAGAATTGACTGCAATCTGAAGCTCATTTGAGAATTTGTTCTAGAGAAATATGCTTGGTAGATTTTTTTTGTCATGTTACACAAAAATATCAAATTTGTGACTCGTTTGTGGCTCATTTGCTGTGGTTGTTCTGTGAATGGCGTATTGCGTGTTGCAAGAAAGGAGTTGGCAGTAACTCAATCTTCTGCTCCAGTTGTAACTATTGGGTCCACAAGCGCTGCTCCGTTATCCGTGGTAAGCTAAAACAAGATCCACCTTCAAATGTAAAGCGTGTTCTGGTAACGTCAGCCCTCAGACACCTGGCATTGCTAATCTAGTGGCGGGTAATGACACTCTTCAGGTGGTGGATTCCTTCCCTTATGTTATGGATGTAAAAAGTCAGTCAGGTTGCTTTGACGCTACAACTGCAAGGGTACGCTCTGCCTCGAAGCACTTTCACAATCTGCTGCCAGTTCTGACCAACAAGGGGATCTCCCTGCATGTCAGGGGTTATGCCTATAATGCTTGCGTGCGTAGTGTTCTTCTGTATACATGCGAGTGAAACCTGGCCAGTAAACGACATCCACCGCCATACCCGCAGAGATAATGCCATGAACAGATGGATTTGTTCAGCAAAGCTGTCGGGCAGGAAATCTATGGCTGAGCTTAGGTGCCAAACCTAGTCCGTCTGCTGTTGAAGAGGTAGTTCGTCGGGGACGCCTTCGCTGGTTTGGTCACCTCCAGTGTTGAACGAGGACAGCTGGCAAAGGAAGATCCTCGACTACCAGATCCCTAGCAACTACCCACGTGGCCGTCCAAAGAAAGTTCACAGGCACGGACATAATAACCTTTAATATATTTGAGTTAGAATTCACTTCACGCAGAGCTCAGAACAGTATACAAATATCTAATGCTTCGAGTGGTGTAGAAAAACTAGCCTCCCGATGTGATTGCCGAGGGAAAAAAGAATGCTCCATGGATCACCGAGGGAGGCTAGTTTTACTTCACCACGAGATAAAGCATTCAATAATTGTTTTATAACACTTCACCCACAGATTCTGCTTGGTTTTAATATTTTAAATTATTTAAATCTGAACAGTTGAAATAAACTTCAATTTCAATAGAAAATTGGTGGAAAATGTATTTCTCTCTTCCAAACTACCCCTTCACGAAATGTTTGAACCCAACTCTGTGGCGCGCTCTCTTTGGAACAAAATGCCCTACGTGCAACGGGCACACCAGCATGCATTTGCACACAAATACCGCGCCGTGGATATAGTACTTTGGTTGCTAATGGTATAGTACTTTGGTTATAGTACTTTTGGCCGTGCACAGAAAGATAGCAAAAATAGAAAGTATCATGTGACTCGCCCTCGGCCAATCAAGACACAGAATCTGTGGGTGAGGTGTTATAATACTTATTATGAGTGACTTTGAGTTCAATGATGTAGAAACTTACAACAACTAGGCCATGACCCCCAGCCACTGGTGTTGCTCTGTGTAGCGCCCTCACTTGACATGCCTGCAAAACAGAACATAAAAACCTGTTATCATCAATGTACATTTTTAAGTTCAAACAGATTTAAAACAACTGAAATTTGTCAAATGATTCTTCTCTAGCACCTTACTACAGTTTAGCAATTAGGAGTATAATTCGGCAATTCAACCAAATTTTGTAAATAAGGAAATTTGTCCATATTTTTCAGGAGGATTTTGATTTGATTAGAGACGTAAACATCAGTTACACCATAAATCAACCACTAGTCGACTAATGGTCCTCGCCAGAAGTTACTCAAGGATGTAGTCAAACCATCTTACATGTTGACCAACCCTGACCCAGACCATCTTAGATGTAGACCAACTTGGACCCAGACAAATCTTGGATGTAGACCAATTCAGACCAAGACAATATTGGATGTAGACCTACTCAGACCAAGACAATCTCAGATGTAGACTAACTCAGACCAAGAAAATCTTGGATTTACACCAACTAGGACCCAGACAATCTTGGGTGTAGACCAATTCGGACCCAAACCATCTTGGATGTAGACCAACTACATGTAGGACTCAGACAATTTGGATGTTTACCAACTCGGATGTAGACCAACAAGGACCCAGACAATCTTGGATGAACTAGGAACCCATGTAGACCAACTTGGACCCAGACAATCTTAAAGGTAGACCAATTCAGACCCAGACAATCTTGGATGTAGACCAATTCAGACCCAGACAATCTCAGATGTAGACCAACTCAGACCAAGACAATCTTGGATGTACACCAACTAGGACACAGACAATCTTGGGTGTAGACCAATTCAGACCCAAACCATCTTGGATGTAGGACCAACTACATGTAGGACTCAGACAATTTTGGATGTTTACCAACTCGGATGTAGACCAACAAGGACCCAGACAATCTTGGATGAACTAGGAACCCATGTAGACCAACTTGGACCCAAACAATCTTGGAGGTAGACCAATTCAGACCCAGACAATCTCGGATGTAGACCAACTCAGACCAAGACAATCTCCGATGAAGACCAAATCAGACCAAGAAAATCTTGGATGTACACCAACAAGGACCCAGACAATCTTGGATGAACTAGGAACCCATGTAGACCAACTAGGAACCCAGACAATCTTCGATGTTGACTAACTACATGTAGGACCCAATCCCATACAATCTTGGATGTAGACCAACTAGGACCCAGGCAATCTTGGATGAACTAGGAACCCATGTAGATCTACTAGGCACCCAGACAATCTTGGATGCAGACCAACTAGTAACCAACTTGGTCCGAGTCAACTCGGTCTTAAGTCAATTCGGGTCTCAAGTCAACTCGGTCTGAGGTCAACTCGGTCCGAGGAAACCCTCGGTCCCAGGTCAACTCGGACCCAGGTCAACTCAGTCCCAAGTCAACTCGGTCCAAAGTCAACTTGGTCCCTATGGGAAAATGTACACAAAAAGTCTTGTAAGTTTCTTGTAGCATGAGGGTAAACCAACATGAGGATCGATCTCACATCTCGAGTGTTGAGGGTGTGTTGGGAATGTAACGGTGTTTTACAATACTTGGGGTGAAACTATGGAGTATAAAATTTCACCGCGATAAACGTAACCAGGATAGTCATTTATTAATTGGAAGAAAAACATTTATTGTAATTGTTAGGCCCACATTATGGCCACAACAAACATTCCATACAAGAGTTCCTACAACTGTAGAGTACGAACAAAATATTTGAAATCACACGGTCCGAGTGATGTACCGAGGAGGAAATGGAAAAAATGTTGCAACCTGACGCCACTTTTTTCTTCATATATTATCTCAATGAAGGTTAGTCATTGCAAAAATGATGATAAGACATGAATCTGGGACTGAGAAACATAAATTAGGAAATACCTCGAAAATTTTCTTGACTCTCCATAGCCTTTGTACACAACCGCTGAAGTGGCGTCAGGTTGCAACATTTTTTCCAAGAAAATTTATCGTCGATTTGTGGCTCCCATGATTTTTACAAACTGTCAAAACATGTCAAAATGCGAGTCTGAAATCTCCAAAATTCCTTTCCTAAATTCGTAAACTAAGAATTTTTAAAATAAGATCATTTTCCTTTTCAAAACACACTTCGTCAGAAACATTAGTAATAGTACTATTGGGGACAAATTCAAAAGAGGTAGGTTTTTATTTGAAGCGATCTGGAACTAGGAAAAAGCTGGAACTAGGAAAACGACCGTAGGCCTAGGTCTAGCCCCCCCCCCCCCCCCCCCCCCGGCCCCCCACCAGGCCTCCCCTCTTCAGAGGGTTTCGATCCAACTCGGACCCAAACCAAGTCGGACCCAAGCCAACTCGGACCCATGCCAACTCGGACCCACTACCAACTCGGACCCACGCCAACTCGGACCCACTACTAACTCGGATCCACAACCAACTCGGACCCACTACCAACTCGGACCCATGCATGACCAACTCGGACCCTTCGTTTACAATCATTTGACAGCGTTTTCAATCATTCGACAATTTAATAAAGTTTGTCTTCATAGAAAATTAAAATTGGAAAGTATGACATTGAAACATAAACACTTTCAAACATGACATTATTAATTCAATAAATATAAGTAAACATTATAAGTCATTAAATAAAATAAATAAGGTATAAAAACGAAGTCTATTCTAATCTCTACATGTACATGTATTTTAAAAAAATAACCACATAAACACCATTGCATACACTGCAAGAAAAACGAAGGTTCCATATTGAACAAAAAAGGTTGATCAAAAAGTGTAAAAAGTTACACAGATTCGTAAAAAAAAACAATTAAAAAAACTAACAATTACATGAAATGAAAGGCCTATTTCAAATTAATAACTTCCTCACTGAACAAAATTTTTGTGACATATTGAAATCCTTCATTGAGTGTGATTTAATTTGGTTTATATTATTTGGCACACACACACAAAAAGCAGATGAAAAAGGAAAACATTGCACATAGATATCCATTTCTTCACGTGAATGAGTAATAAGAGAGCAAAATCAATGTAGTATAATCAAACAACAAAACTAAAAGCCCCATTCTGACCAATATAATTACAAAATATCTTCACTATATAAGCACTGTAACATTAAGATGACCTATAAATATAATCTCTGAAACTAATGATTAAGCCATTGTTTGGTCCGAGTTGGTCGTGCTTGGGTCCGAGTTGGTAGTGGGTCCGAGTTGGTCTTGGGTCCGAGTTGGTAGTGGGTCCGAGATGGTAGTGGGTCCGAGTTGGCGTGGGTCCGAGTTGGCGTGGGTCCGACTTGGCATGGGTCCGACTTGGTTTGGGTCCGACATGTCCGAGTTGACCTGATGCCCTTCAGAGACGTTGGACCAGGCAGAGACAGGGCTCCGTGGCGCGCGTGGACAACGGGCGAGTCTCATCAGACTACGTTTGGGTCCGACTTGACAAAAACTACACTAAGGAAATTGAGCTATCCATTCAATATAATATAATATGTCTTACCACACTCTTCCTGAGCAATCGTAAAGGTATTTGAAACATATTTGCCTCGGTGTTTTGGACTTCTTCGGGTTGCAATCAGCTCCGCAAAGTTTTCTACATCGGTGCGGTCGTGTCACGCTTTCTATGAGCCAGAGTAGCATGAAAAAGTGGAAACGTCACCAGACTATTCCCTCTTGAAGAATTGACCTATGACCTGGAATATTTTACATAATATTTTCCTACCAAAATGCAAAACAGTTCAAGCATTCAAGCAAACAGTGGATATCATATAATACAATATTGGGGGTTTTAACGCAAAATAACAACACCATTTTCAAATTATACGTCATTCTGCAAGTCGCTCTACATTTTAAAAGTTTTTTTGCTACATGCAATAGTCACGTACGTATATCTATGCATCAAGCAGGCAACAGCCGTCGTAATTAAATTGTTGCTACACCACCGGGCACAACAACTGCAGGGAACCTGATCGTTACAGGTCTTGATTTTAATTGATATTTCTGGATTGTAAGTATGTCAGATTTGTCGTTGATGACCGTGTGTATGTTCTGTCTTTGGTGAAACGGTCGAAATCATTTCTGCTTCGTTAACAATAAGATTAGTAAGTGAAAAATACAAATAAAGATAGAAGTGATACTCCGATTTACTCGACATGCGAGTCGATATCTGCCCCGTACGTGTGGGCGCGGGGCAAGCATTATTTCCACATCCATGAGCACGAATATTATAATCAGTAAAATCATGGAAGTAGGATTTGCCACATGTACTGTTTGGTTTGATGTATCTTTATTTCGCATTTAAATGTGTTTTTACTATTGAAGTAGATATTGGTCAGGCCATGATAATGTTTGGGTTTTTTTTAGATTTGTGTCTGAAAAAATGTGCATGTTTGGAAAGGACTCAGGAGGCTGTTTTTTTTTTTATAGTGGATATTTTGCCGAAAGTAATGCCGGCAAGCTAACGTTTACTAAAGGTTTGCCGGCGGCAATCCATATCAACAGACGCTGTAATCTCTAAGATAGGGCTGAATTATAAGATATATTTAATTATCGATAACGGTTGTGACGTGTAGCACGCTTGGTCTAGTGGATAAGCAATGGATCTCATGAGCGGGAAGACCCGGGTTTGATACCGATCCCCGCTGGCGACATTTCTGAGTTTTTTTTTACCCATCCCAAAAAAATAAGAATATTCTTCTTTTATTATTTTAACATGTCTCAAACATTTTATTGCAGAGTATTACATTTTCTTTTTCAGATTTGTGGCTCTGGAGGATTTTTTTTTAAAGGGAAATAAAGGCCGAAATTGTAAAATGGTCTGATTCCCATCTTGTGCATACGAAGTTACAACGATAATGTTGGCATGTCTAAGTACAAAAAAAAACACTAACTGCGCATGTTCAGTTCATATCCAGCAAGCTAACGTTTACTAAAGGTTTGCCGTCTCCAGGCTAAATATCCACTGCCTTTTTTTTTTCATTTTTCATTTGTCATTTATTTTTCATTTTTAATTAAAAAAAAAAAATTCTTCAAATAAGTTTTTGGATGAATTTTATTGTTACATTTCTAGTATAGATCGACGAATCGCCGTTTCAGCATCGTGTCATAATCTGAGGATTAATTTTAACCATAAATATTGATGATTGTGCAACCGTTAATCATACTAGTTGATTTTGTGTGACCTGGTAAATTTGTGTGAAGTAAAAAAAAATCAATATAATGATTATTTTTTTAAATAATGAAATTTTTACTGGGAGCTTCAAGTTCAAGGGCATGCAGGTGGTTAGCCCGACTGCGTCTGGCCGTACAGTACTATCGCAAGCTCTGTAGTACGGCCAGACGCTGAATGCTTCCAAAAAGACTGAATTTTTTTGGCCGCTGATGTAGCGATTTTGCTACATCTTTTGATCGAGTTTATCTTTTCATCCAGGACAACAATTTCCACAGTTAAGGTTCTTAGTCGTAGAGCAACTCATACCTTTTCGAAAAAACGTTCTCTGGTCTCAATATTTTCATCCATCTGGCCAAAAGACGACTTTCAGTCATCATATTCCACAAATATCGTCCCGAAAATGCTCCCCCATGCGATTTCAAAATGGCGGCCGCGCCGTAACTCATGAATATGCATGAAAAGTCTGTGACGTATGACCTCGTGTTTTTGGACGCGCGTGCGGCGGCGCCGTACGTACATGTACGTACATGTACATTACTTGTAGACAACAGCCCAGTACGTGCATGCACACGTACGTCCGCGCGGCGGTGTGCATGCACGTACTGGGCTGTTGTCTACAAGTAATGTACATGTACATGACTGTACATATGTACGTACGGCGCCGCCGCACGCACGTCCAAAAATACGAGGTCATACGTCACAGACTTTTCATGCATATTCATGAGTTACAGCGCGGCCGCCATTTTGAAATCGCATGGGGGAGCATTTTCGGGACGATATTTGTGGAAGATGATGACTGAAAGTCGTCTTTTGGCCAGATGGATGAAAATATTGAGACCAAAGAACGTTTTTTCGAAAAGGTATGAGTTGCTCTACGACTAAGAACCTTAACTGTGGAAATTTTTGTCCTGGATGAAAAGATAATCTCGATCAAAAGATGTAGCAAAATCGCTACATCAGCGGCCAAAAAAATTCAGTCTTTTTGGAAGCATTCAGCGTCTGGCCGTACTACAGAGCTTGCGATAGTACTGTACGGCCAGACGCAGTCGGGCTAGCAGGTGGTGGACGCAAAAGTAAAAATTGCATTCTCAAAACCTTATGAGTGTTATTTGAAAGTGTGATTTACATGTAGACTTACAAACTGTATTCGGCAATTTATCTTCCAAGTGAAAGTAGGCCTACATGTACAGCAAAATGCAAATTTTTTTTTTAAGATGAAATACTAAACAAAATAATAGCAATTTTGTTTAGATGGAACTGATACATTATGAAATTCTACTAAAGTAAGAAACATGTAAATTGAATTTTGTGTCCTAAGATACATGTATGCATTTGTAGAACTGTAGAACAATAAGCTGACCTCTGATTTTAAAAATCATAATATCTTTATGATTAGTGACGCCAGCACAGGGGCATGAAGAAACACATTTTGTGCACACAGTTGATGGATAATAGTTGTAGGAAGTGAGTAAATTGTGTTAATGACTTGGATGCATGGTGAGAGAAAAATACTGAAAATTTCCGGATTTTCAGTCAAAATGGGTGTGTGTGCGGTTTTTTTTTGGGGGGGGGGAATGGGATGGGTAAGGGCCTCTAGGGACGTTGCCTACACAATTTACATGTGTATAGTCAAATACCAGATCACATAAGAAGCAGTAGATATGACATGTTTGAATTGAAGGCATTTCAAGACAACTTTTAACAACATTTTTGTAGCATGAAGCATATGTATTTATGCTAGCTAAAAGAGGCTTATATTATCAGGCGTGTGAAATTTCAGCTTTTAAGCTGATTTCAGCTTTTTTTTGTTTTGGATTTCAGCTTTTTTCAGCTTTTTCCCTCACTTGCTGTGTACAAAAGTATAGGAGATATCCAAAGTTCAGCTTCTTTACACCTTTTTTCAGCTTTTTTTATAAGTGGTCACTCACACCCCTGATTATATTATGTGCTTTTCTTTCCTCTGCTAAGGCCACAAAAAAAGTGTCCGGTTTCTGGTATGCACGCGCATCGCCGTAGCCATGCGCGCCGGCAAAATTTAAAAAAAAAAAAAATTCAATGTAAGATGATGTCTCAAAACCGCCAAACTCACTCTGGTTTGACCGGAATCCTGCTGCTGCACAATTTTAACATGTTTTTAGATGGGTTACGATCAAGTATAAGCTTTATGTGGCCTCTCTGGGCTCCAATACATTTTGCACTAAATTTAGTCGGGCACCATTTGCAGTCTTCAGCCGACATTTGAAGGAAAAGAAATTTAAAAAAAAAGCCGCCTTGCTGCACCACTTTTAGGGCAAGCTCCATACCAGAAACAGTAGACTTTTTGGGGGGGGGGGCTTAATCTTTTTTACACCTACTTTTACTTTTTATGCGAGGTCTGGTTGTCATGCTCACCAGGATGATATCATGACACTTGACAGCTTTTTTCTAGGCAAACAAATCAGTGGGGAGGTGAAGGATCTTATGGCTAATCCTTCCTTGAAAAAAAAATGGAGATTTGGGGATCTCTTCCTCCCCCTTTACTCCAAACCTTTGGACCTTTAGGACGTAGTCCGAGTAAAAAATCAAACAGCGTTACAACAACCACCTTTTATTTTCCTTTTGAAGGGATGAGCGGTTTAATAAGGTGAAGCAGTCCTAGTAACATCAACAGCAATGGGAGAGAGAAGCGGAGGCCATCTGTCCAGCCATAAAGGCAAATACTTTGACCTCAAGGTCAAACTATTTACCGGTGAGACGTTTCCTGTTAGAGATGTCTACAATGAGATGAAGGTATAACTTATCATTCGAATAAGAACAAACACACGGATAATTTTATCTTAAAGGGAATGTACAACATTTGCTTTTGCTGCAAATTTCAGAAATAATTGGATTTGGGGGATTAGTATGTTACAGCAAATATTGTTTAAATGACTTGTTTCACGTTTTGGGCTTGTAGATGCTGGAGAAACTAAGAAAACCAATCTTATTCTTGTAGTCTGTTTCCCTGACCCCACTTAAGATGGAACGGAGCAATTTATTGACTTTGGGGAATTGTAAGGTCAGAGAATCAGTCTAGCAGGCTTGTACCCCCCTCACAGGTGTGTGATCAATTGCAAAGAAAATGCGGAATAACTAATTATGAAAAATTAGGAGCACTTTTTGAAAAAAGCCAGTTTTCTCCAACGCTGGAGAAAATGTCAGCACACCAGGAGCCACGATTTTACAGGATGCTTTAAACTGTCATTCCCTAACAATCCAGTAAGGTATTACATGATAATTTGATCATTTCCTTTTGTGATGTTTGCAAATGTTGTATCTTATCTTTAATTGAAGTTGAGTTTCCTTAAAAAAAATGTTTTGTTTGAATTGCAATTTGTTAGCTTTGTTCAAAGACTTTTGTAGCAAACATGAAACAACAAATCTTCTCACATTTAGTCATGAAATAATTTCCAAATTTTGAACACTACCGAATAAAATCGGAGAAATTGCTTTTTTCAAGAAACATTTTATTGTCTCACTTCCAAGAGACTAGACAAGAAACATCTATTTTGAGCAAGAATTACTTGTAGTTTTCGATTTCAATTGAGGGGCATGAAGAAACACATTTTGTGCAGACTGTTGATGGAAAATTCCCAAACATGTACTTCCAACATGAAGTTGGCCCTGTTACAGAGATCTGCTTTGCAAGCAGACTGGTTCGGAGTGGCTCCTGGTCTGTACATTATTGGCACTGATTGTGAGAATGGAATTATTGTCTCTCAATTTTTTTCAGTCGATGCCTAATTCAAAGGGAATAACTTTTGTATTGCTAGAAAAAAAAGAAATTTAGAAAAGGAATCTATTTTCTGGATGAAAAAAGCATGGGGAATACATCTTTAAAACAAAACAAAACTTACAAATTGAAAATTTGTTAACAAAAAATTTGATTTGTTGAAGAGCAAATACAAATATACCAGTGTACTCTTTGCACTGTAATGATACAAATTTGACCCTAACCTTCCCAAATCCTCCAAAATCCTTTTTGATGGCAAAAGTGTGTTGCTGACTTCGGCGGATGCACCGTGTCAAGGTCTTGGGCGGGACCTTGTGTTGTTTATGCTCGGCATAAATTAATGCCTACAATATACTTGAAATCCTCCGCACTGCTCCAGAATGTCACAGGCTCTGCCTCAACACATTGACAGTGATTGCTGGAGGATTTTGCAGAATTGAGGCAGTGGTCACCCCTCCAAGGACCACATTCAAGAAATACAGGAGGATTAAGCAGGATTGAGGATGTTATTTTTCCATGAGGCCAATTGGAGGATTTTGCAGGATTGAGGTTACATCCTAGCAAACATGTCTAGGGAGTTCGGTTAAGGCAAAAAAATGTGCTTATTACAGATTATACAGAAGGCGCCCAAACCATTTGCTACATTGTGTTTTCTTTTGTCGATATAAACAGGTGAGGGCTCTGAAAGCCAGGATGGAGTTTGTGACAGGCATTCCCAGCCATCTACAGAGACTGACCTACTTAGATGGAGGTGAGGTCTTAGGATTAACATCTCATCTTGATGGACAGATCTGCCCAGCCACACCCACTGTGCACACATTGGCAACAACGCATGCACCTCAGCACTCCAATGACACATTGTATTCATATGGAATTGCGTTATGCATCATATCGTCAGCATTTTCACAAAGGGCTGAAATATCAAGTACCTTAAACGTGATCCGTGGAAACATTTTTAAAACTGTGTTTGTGTTCAAAATTCCATAACTGGAAAAGTACATGAGCGATTTGAAGCTTATTAATTGGGCTTTCATATCCTAGATCTGGAAAGCGCTACATGCAGAACTTCCTAAAAAAATAGGGGGCACACTTTGGGTTTCCTTTTTTTTTTTTTACTCACCCTGTACAATCATGTCACCTAGCCAGAGATGTAGTCACGTCTAGCACAAGTCAATCATGAGCAAAGTCACAAATCAATACGAATTAAATCATTAGTCAGTCACAAGTAAGGTGACTATTATTTGGGGATGAATGAAGACAAAGCAATGCCTTTGTCACAGCTCATTTGAATAGCTTGTGACTTGACTTGGGACTCGAGGACTTGTGATGGACTTGTGAGGACTTACATGTATGAGGACTTGAAAATGGGGCAGTATCATAAGTCCGAAGCCTCATAGGTCCGACGCCGAAAGTCCGAAATTTCGGACTTATGAGGCGTAGGACTTATGAGGCATAACATTTATTTATTCCGCCTCATAGGTCCGACGCCTTATAAGTCCAACGCCTCATAAGTCCGACAACGGAAAAATGAGGCGTATAATTTGTTGGACTTACCAGGCGTCGGAGCTTTGAGGCGTCGGACCTATGAGGCGTCGGACTTATGAGGCGTCGGACTTATGAGCGGACCCCTTGAAAACAACTGTGATAAAGCCTTTCGTTAATAACTTGCTCAGTACTTTTGCTCTAAATGTGCTTCAGTGAAAAAGTGCTTCACATGTATAACAAAAGCTCATCAAGTTAAAATCTTTATGATATTAAAAATAAAATTGAAGGCATACAAGACAAATTTGTTTTTTGAAGGCATGCAAGGAACATCAGAAAATTACATCTAATTGAAACCTAGATTTAATATAAACATTTTACAAAATACAGAGTAAAAGTATGATATGAATTTCAAACTCACTTGCAAAGTGAGTGTGTACAAAACATCAACACCGTTTATCAAATTACCGTAGGAGATCATCATTTATTGAGATTTTTACCTTTTTGTTGGTTTCAGCTGACATGATGGATGATAGTGACATCAAGCATCATGACATTGTTCCTGGGGCAACTATTAACCTGGATGTGTGGTATACATGGAAGACGCTCATACAAGCAGCTGCAGATGGCGACACTAGCAGAGTCAGTAGCAACACTTTTCTTTATATCATTCACCTCATAAAATATAGTGGAGTGTCATGGCCTAGCGGTTAAGAGCACCGGACTCATGCTCTGGTGTTTCAGAGGCAACAGTGGCGTGGGTTCGAGCCCGGGCCCGGACACTTGTGCCCTTAAGCAAGGCACTTAACCATTATTGCTTCGTCCTTCGGATGGGACGTTAAGCCGGAGGTCCAGTGTGTTGTATAAGGCCTAAGGCACGTAAAAGAACCCAGTAACACTTATCGCTCAGAGAAGGGGTTTGCCCCGGTGTTTCTGGCCTGCTAGTGATACTCCCTTGTGGAAGTCCTTAGGAGAAGAACCAACCAAGTACCAAGTATATACTTTAGGTTGCTGGTATTCAAATAATCAACATATTAACAAAATTGTTCACTGCCCTGATGGGGAGGTGGTGCTTTTGAACACCGAGGGAGGCATGATGTTTTAAGTGTGTCCTGAAGTGTGTTGACAGACACCGTGTCTCACATCACAGAATCGGTCACTTTTCTAAACCTTCAAATAACCCACAAAGGGAAATTGACTGGGCACATAATAATTGTTTTTTTCAAAGTTGAACAAAGAAATTGACGTGAGCAGGGTTTTAAACCTGCGACCTCCGGATTGCCGTTCCAGTGCTCAACCAACAGAGCTATCCAGCCCTAAGTTGGTGGTTTCTCAATTCGTCAATGTCTTTGTTCAAGGGGCGCTAGTCAGAAGCCAAGAACCTGTTACCATGTAGCCAGGGATCACGCCCGAGGGAACAATGCTAGCAACGTGCATTAACAATGTTGCAAACCCGGGAAATAGCAAACGGGGATCACTCAAAGAGAATGCAGCTTCTGAATAGCATCCCTTGAACAAAGACATTGACAAATTGGGGAACTTTTTGAATAAATGCAAAGGATTCTATGAGGGTTCATGCATCAACAGAGAGCAGGGGCTTTTCGACCACTTTCGATAGCTTTCGCAGGGACACACCGCATGCGCGTACCGGTTCGCATGCGCGTACCGGTTCGCATGCGCGTACCGGTTCGCATGCGCGTACCGGTTCGCATGCGCGTACCGGTTCGCATGCGCGTACCGGTTCGCATGGACATAGCGTATAGTTCACACAAATCATTTTGTTTCGATGTGGGTCAAGCCATGGTGTCTTCACATGAGTGTCAGGTGTCATCGGCAATGCGTTCCAATATCTCTCAGTGGTCTCCCCCAATTAACTCTGCCTTTCTTGCCGTTGTGTGGATACTTGTGCATACTTGAGAGACCATAAGCCTTGAAATCAAGTGTCAGTCACAAGTCAAATCACAACTTATTCACAAATTGTCACTGTTTTCACGAAGAGCCACATATGTCACAATTTTTTAGATTTTGATTTTTTCAATATTTCGCATTAAAACAATGTACTTAACCATTTTGACATGTTTCTGTAAGCAAAACATCATTAATTTCTAATTTACATTAATGTTGTAAGGGGCAGAAATCTCGATAAATGCATTTTCCGTTTTCGCGAAGAGCCACATACATTTTGGCCCTTTGAACGCATACAAAACTCATTGCACGGAAAAACGTAAAAGTAGGTCAAATGAGATTTGAGTTTTCACGAAGAGCCACGTATCTTTGTTACATTTTCAGCTGCGCACGCGTACTCACGCGCGCCTACAGAAATACACGTTGAACAGAAAGGGCCAATATCTCGCAAACCTGAATTTGCGTTTTCACGAAGAGCCACATATCTTTACTAATTAATTTTTACTAATTAACTGCTGTATTAAGTCTTACTTAATTTACTGTATTACCGGGTTCATGTAAAACTTCAGCTCTCGTAGAATCGTGTGATGGTTTCCTTGCTGCACAAAGTTGTTGCAAAGTAGTATTTTTTGAAGTTTTAAAATATGAGAAACTTCTTTTGCGAATATCTCGAAAACACTTTTCTTCAAAATCAACATAATATATATAGTACGTGGCTGTTCGTGAAAACGGTGACGAAATAACAGGGAATTTATGGAACAATGATAAAGCAAGACTTTGTGTAGTGAATTTGACTTGTGATTGACATGTTGTACAACCGCAGTGCCATAATACTCCTGTAATCACTGGTTTTCATTTAGTAACATACAGTTTGTTTGTGTTTTATCCTGTAACAGCTCCTGAAGCTCGGTGTAAGCAAAGACAGCAACTACACCACTCCCAGCTCCCAAGAGATGAATGAACGGTCCAAGGCAGTATGGCTTGCAGAGAGGGCGTTTGTTGCCCTCAGTATCGCTGCACACAGAGGCCATGTGGCTCTTGTACAAAAACTCATTGATGGAGGTAAACATACGTGTACAAAAAAAATGTGTTTTTTCTAGCCAAAGCCATGCGATTCGGATAAGGCCTGACTGTCATTTGGGAATAAGACTTGCTTTAAGTCCCTCGTTTACTGACTGTCACTTGTGAATTGGACCAGAAAACTATTTAGCACAACTATCAGGATTTTCTGTGAAAATTATATCTCCAAAATATAGAACTTTTAATGTTTGTGCTGAAGTTTGCTCATTAATGGCTGTACTAAATCAAAGAAACACACAAACATTGAGAAACCTTAGTCTGTACAAGCAGGCATCAAAGCACTCATCCATTTATTACAAATGTTCTGTTGAAATTCCAGGGGCCAGTGTGTATGACAAAACTCCCAAGGGCCGGACAGCCCTCCACATCACAGCAGCACAGGGCAAGAACAACGCCGTGGAGGTGCTGCTGAATAATGGCGCCACCATCGAAGACCCGGACAACGATGGCAAGAACCCGCTTGTCCTGGCCGGCCTGTGGGGCCACAAGTCCTGCGAGCGGCAAATCTTCCTCTTCCAGTGGCAGCAGAGAGCCGCCAAGCAGAGACCCATCAACAACGACGGCCAGCTGCTGGCCCATCAGATGTACGACTCCAAGCTAAAGACCTGGCTGACGGGAGAGCAGGCTCAGGTCTACTACGCCCAGATCCTACCCCCAGGGGAGTACTCCGGGACCGGGATAGATGCCCCGAGGAGAACCAAGAGACCCAGCTCAGCCCCGCCCTCAGAACGCACAGAGGCATCCCAGAGAGACAAGAAAACATTGGAAGGAAACAAAGCAACTCAGGTATCCATTGGGACTGAGTCGCTACGAGCTTTGAGATCGCCAGAAGCTAGGAAGCCGTCGGCCAAAGGAAGATACTCTAGGTAATTTACTGTACACTCTTATTTAATGGAGCAAGCAAATCGTAAGTGAGAGTTTGTTTGAGCTTGAACAGTAGTTACCACAGTGCTATGCCCCGAACTGCGGGTGTCATTTGAGAATGCTTGTTCACAGGCTGAAATTAATGACAGAAATTATTTATGATGGCAGCAGTGCCTTGTCAAACTTGAGGGTCTATTTGACACAGCTTAGACCCAGATGTTTTACTTGCGTGTATATCATTATTCTTAAATACCTGAGACAGTTTACCCATTCCTATTGGTCGAGAGCCTGTCACATGAGTGGGTTTAAACTGCTGTTGGAACCACGGCCAGCTATGGCTAAAACCGATCAGGAGACGTTGCACTCCACTCCACATGCGCACTGTACGTGCCGTGCTCACCTACTCCAATTGGGTGCTTGAGAACCACTAATATGATCTATGTATTGGAGATGTTGAGCAAACCATGCGCGTAACGTGCACCATAGAAGGCTTGAACATGGAGTAAAATAATGCTGAACTTTGTCAGAATTTTTGATCGAAAAGGTATTTATGAATTGGAATAATAGTGTGGTGGAGCAACTTTGAACCTGTGGTTTAAAACCGGTAAGGGCCTGGTCGGGCCATTATTGGCAACCAGGCCCCTGTCTGGTTTTAAAACAGACGTTTTAAACTGCTCTTCCACACTACAATTATTCCCTTATCAGATATTCATAGATTATGAATATGAATGGGTAGACTAATCACTTGAAATGGCTGAGTCATGATTTGATATTGAGTGAAGTTGAACTTTTTTTATGTCATTTTAAATGGAAACTCAGAGTGATGTGATTTATGACACATTCTATTCAACAGCCCTCTCCAAGAAGCCAAATCCAAGGCCTCAGGGGACAAGAAGTCCTACGACGATTGGCTTGCCCAGAAGAAGGCCAAAGAGCGCCATCAGGCAGAGAACAAGCGCAAAGTCATCCAACAACAGAAGATCAAAGTGGAGGACGAACAACGGGCCGTCCAGGAGAAAGAAAAGTCCTACGAGACATGGCTCAAGGAGCAGAAAGCCGAGCAGAAGGCCGCTGCCAAGGGCCGGGCAAAAACGGTGGCAGCTGCGGGATCACAGAGCAAGTCTCCCGAGAGGGGCCTGGCCACTCCGGATGAGAAGGCGTTTGACTTGATGAAGATCAGGAAAGAGATGGATATCTTACACCCTGTGGAGGTGCAGCACTGAAGTGAAAGTCAAGTTTCAGAGCAGGAGGCTCTGCCATGGTAGAGAAACCAGTTGTGCAGTATTGCAAAGTATGTCTCCCAGTAAAGGTCAAAGCTGGTCACACTGGACGGGGGGGTTTATGAAGAGAAGGAGGAGATGGTCTGGGAAAGAGATTTGATAAACAGTACTAACAAGCAAAACTTGTACCCTTGCCCCATCCAGGATACTTCAGTATTTGCAGTGAGAAAACGTCCCATACTTTAACCTTATGGACGTTGCAACAAGGGTGAGCCTCGATCCATGCACTCAAAGAAATGCCAATAAGCAAATGAGCGGTTCTCTTTTTTAGTGCACACTCCATTTGGAGGCTTTGCTAATCAACTTTTGTACAATGTGTTTTCCATTGCATTCCATGTGTCTGACCGACTAGCCAAAAATTTCACTCAGGGAAAAAGGGTTAGTGTAGCACCATGTGTAGCTCCATGGTAGCAGCATGGGAAGTCTTTGTTGCATGATGTTTCCAATAAGTGTTTAAACTTTCAGAAAATCCAATGTGAACTGAATACATGTAAAATGTGGTTGTTTGTAATAGGTCTCGTTCACATGACGTCATTTCCTACAGACCTGCCACGTGCGTCGGCATTTTGAGCGTCAACTTGCATAACGCGCATCGGCTGCATTGTATTTCGAGCAACAAGCGCGCGTGTTTGGAACATTTACAACACTGCGCAGTGCGTGCTTGATTGCGTAAAATACGCAGTTGCAGTTCTCCTACAGAGATGGCCGTCATTGAACAAGCCCTATACATGTAGGCACTGAATGTTTTTCTGTGTTAGCTTAGGCACAATGGCACTTTTTCTGTAAACATGTTGTAAAGGCTCTTGATTAAAAACGCTTGGGTTTAACCCAGTTTATGGTTTAGTCAAAAGATACCAAAGCAGCATTAAACTGAAAGAAATCTGTTTCACGACCATAAAATTCTTACTGATATTTACTGATGTCCATGATGGACACCCAGTTTCTTAATCACACAGATTGAATGCTGTTCTGTGATTTGGATTCTGGGGTTCTATCCACATAATGTGTGTGATTTAATTGTGACTTCTTGAAACACAATGATGTAATTTTGTCATCCAGGATTTTTAATGGTGTCTGTGTGTGATTTTTAGATGTAACACCATTGGCACAGTATGAAATTGTATATATATTGTGAATTTGTGTATAGAAATATCTGTATTTATTTTGGGAGTGTTTCAAGTTAATGAAGGGCTGGCATTTCAATCCACAAACAGAATCTCTGTCAAAGTAGGACTGTCCTGAATATACAAAATATTTGAATATTCGATCATTATTTGAATATTTGATCATTAACTGAATATTCGATCATTAACTGAATATTCGATCATTAACTGAATATTCGATCATTAACTGAATATTCGATCATTAACTGAATATTTGATCATTAACTGAATATTCGATAATTAACTGAATATTCGATAATTAACTGAATATTCGATAATTAACTGAATATTCGATTATTAACTGAATATTCAATCATTAACTGAATATTCAATCATTAACTGAATATTCAAATGGCTGTTTGCCGGTTTGAATATTCCAAAACGAAAAAAACTACGCAGGTACACACATAACTGTGATGTTGCTTTAATCATAAACTTGTGGTGCTTCATTGTCACATGCCACTGTTTTGTCGACGGTAACATTTTTTCTTGACGGCAGATCACTGATCCCACAGTTATGAAATACTTACTGCAAAAGACTCCATATCCATCGTCGCACTCAAATTTTAACCAGCATGCTACTTTTTGCAGCTGGAGCATGTAAAACTTGATTGGAGGGTTTGAATATTCCAATATTTGAATATTCGATAAAACACAGGTTTGAGTAATCGGATACTGAATTATTCGAAAATGGACAGCCCTAGTTCAAACCAGAATCTTGGTGGAGGACTGTGTGCAGAAACAGCAGAAGGTTTTCTGTGACCACTCATTAGAGCTTGTGATTTGAAGGCAAGGATCATTTGCTGTTCATGCATTTTATTTGTTTCCAATAACAACACCAATCAAAATCCAAAGAAGAATGTTCAAAGCTGACCTGTTGAAATTTAAGCTTTAGAGGAAATTACACTTTTTGATAAAACATTGTAAAACCATGCACAACCCTTTGATCACGGAACACGGTTTAAAATGAGTCAATTGACTGATCCTTGGAAATCACCCCCATTTTTAAAATTTCTTCTAAGGGCCGGTCTCAATTCATAATCCGGGACGAGTTCCGGTCAAGTTGCGGGCAGAATCATTCACTTTGTCCAGAAGGAGCTCTGCATTTGTCCCGGACATGTTACGGGGAAATTTTCATTAGCAACTGCTTGACTCACCAATACTGATAACTTCATTGCGGGAAGATTGCGGGGAAGTTGTTCAGAATCCTGCAACTTATACCCGATACAATGTCTGGAACTCGTCCCGGACTTTACGAATTGAGACAGGCCCCAAATGACAGCAAGCCAGACGCAATAATTTCACAGGGTGTTTAGTACCAGTGCGATCTTTAAAGAGGTTGTGGAATGCTCGAAAACATTTCCGTCATTTTTTGGGTATATGTAGCCTAAGGTGTGATGAAATAAAAACGACTATTGTGTCTGTCATGAAATGAGTACAAAAGGTACTTTGGAGAGCTGTTTTTCAAGTCCTGTCATGCCTGTTTCGACCCGAACGTGCAATTTGTGTAAAAGTCGTCGTTGCGGGCAGCAAACAAAACACAGTAAATCGTGACGTAATAAACAGGACTCCCAATGCAGAGTAGCATACACGAGTCCTGTTTATTACGTCACGATTTACTGTGTTTTGTTTGCTGCCCGCAACGACGACTTTTACACAAATTGCGCGTTCGGGTCGAAACAGGACCTGAAAAATAGCTCTCAAAAGTACCTTTTGTACTCATTTCATGACAGACACAATAGTCGTTTTCATTTCAGCACACCTTAGGCTACATATACCCCAAAAATGACGGAAATGTCTTCGAGCATTCCACAACCTCTTTAATCCAAGTAAGCTGTTTGATTATAATTTGGTAGGCTACTTTTGGGATAAATGCAAATGATCCTATGTCTTTAAAAACCATGGTGCATGCTCCTTAAGCAACCACGAAATTTCTCCTCAGTGTGCATGAACCCGAAACGTCTTCGTAGAGAAGCATACTCTAGTGCATAATACAGCACCAATGACACTCGAGTGTCTCTCGTCTCTCTCTCTGTTTCACTGTTGAGGCCTTGAGGGGGTACTTGTGCTTGGACCAAGTCCATAGAATACCGAAGTGAATACATCACGCGCATAAAATGTGTATAAAAGACATCAGCGTGTGATTCAGGCCGTGAACCAACACGGACGTGTACTCCATTCGTTTGCACTCACACGTCCTTGTTCAAAATAGCATCACACTTCGGTACTCTATTTGCACAAGCCAAGTGTGGTTCTGTTCAAGAGAGGTTTTGCTTGAAAATGCCGGTCCTCCTAAAACTTTTAACATTTATTTATTCAGGTCACTCCAGTTCCAATTGCTAAGCGGTTTGAAGCTGTCTATTTTTTCTGTGGTTTACATTGTATTTTTGGAGGATAGAAATATTGCCTATCATCGACAAACTTCCCTTTCATGATTTTTAACAAATAATGAGTTTGGGTTTTTACATGCGATACTGTTTAGATTTTTACAAGTTTGTAATGATCATTTGATGTACATGTACACATGTACATGTATTTTCCTCTGTGTAAAGGTAAGGTTATATAGTAATAGGAATATGGAAACTTGAGCACCTATGATAAAGAATATGGCTTTCCCAATGGACTTTGAATCAGAGACATTTTACACAAATACTTGGGACAACTTTTAGCAAATGGTTTCAATCGAATGCTCACATTTCTACCAATAAGTGTTTCAGGTTTAAATTTTGACACCACCGTCAGGCCTGTTAGCAAGATTGTGTGAGTTTGTTTCTGCATTCAGTAGGGGGATGTTGAACAATAGAGGACGACAGGGTCCCCAATTCTGGAAGGTCCCCAATTTGGCGATCGTCTACAAAACATATGGGAGGTCTTCCTAAAATGTTCAGTACAAACAAAAAAGGGACAATAGTGGGTAGGCATTACATTCACTGTGTGGACTTCCGAACAGAAGAGGTCCACATAAACCATGGTACAGGAGACGTTGTGTGGACTTGGGCAAGTCCACACAGTGTTCCCCATTTCTGGAAAACAGGTTAAGAGGCATTTTTGGGTTAGGTTTGTGTGTAGCAGAATGAAGAGAAACACTAAAGGGATTCATAGAAAAAAAATTGGGTTGAAAGAGTTTTCACAGTTAGAGAAAAATGATTTTTTTTTTCACTGGTTTTTCTTAACTACATGAAAGCAATGGAATGTCCACACTAGGTATGTAACGTAAACATGCGTGGGTCCCCGATGGCAGGCAAATACACACTTGTGTGCATTTTGTTTATGGTGTAAATTGAGGACACACACCTGCAACATCATCGATGAATTGAGGACAGAAACCAAATTGAGGACTCCCTGGGTTAGAAAATGTGTACAAAACCAATGAGAGCTTTTGTGAAAAAGTCAAGTATAAACAAAGCTCTATGCACACAAACAGTTTTTGCAGATTATTGTGTCATGAGAAAAAGATCAGCTAGTCATTGTGTTTGTTAAAGTGGTTCTCATTGTAGACAATGTCCAATGGTATGCACAAATAATTCAGTTAAATGCACGCAATAAAAAGAAATAACACCGTCAATGAGAAGTCTTTGTTTCTTCTTCCCCACGTTACCCCTTCTATTTTTATTCCATATGCATAGACAAGAACAGACAACAGGTATCAATGTTAGGACGTTAGTATGTAAATCTGGCAAAGTTTGTACATTCCACTCCAGAAAGCTCCCTTTCCAGAAACACTGGAACTTGTGGCCCGATATTTGAGTTTCATAAAATTATGTGTCTGAAAATAAACTATAATGGAATTACTCAATAATACTTCATATCAATTGTACATACACTGGCTTATTAAAATGTGCAAAACTTTAGGCCCTACCCAATATTTTTTTTTTCTTTTATAATTTTACGAACTTTCTGAAAATGAAACTTGCTACACATTTTTAACCAGTAAACATGTAAAATGTTACAGCAAAAGTGAGATTACTTTTAATAAGAGCTTTTCTTAGTCTTACCCAGAGACAGCATTCAGAACAGTATTTTATGAAAAAGATATAATACAGTGGAACATCGCTATACCGAATATTCGGCTATACCGAACATCGTCCTTGGCTCCCGCTTTTTGTGTACAAAACCAACTGAATATTGGTGTTGAAAACCGTCAACAGAAGAGCGAAAGTGGCTATTATTTCCCCAAGGTATATAATTAGAAGGGGAAAGCCACCCATCGATGTAGGTACATGTAGTAAGCTCAAAACTGTGTAATTACATTATTCAATAGTCGGCACGTGTTCGAAGTCGTCTTTCAGTAACTACCAGGGCGTGCAGGGTGAAGTTATGAAGGGCGCCATTTATTAAAAAGTGAGTACCGGAGCACCGGTAGCTTAACATCACTATACCGAACGATCACTATTACGAACATTTTCTGTGGATCCTGCGATGTTCGTTATAGCGGCGTTCCACTGTAGTAACCAAAATACACAAATGCTGCATGTCATCTGCAACAATCTTCAATACGTACATGTTACTAAGCACTTTATAGAGTGTTTACTCTGAAGAAAAGCAGCCGCAGTACTCTGGTTAATACCAGTCCCTCCATTAGTTGTACAATATCTGGAGACATAGCCGTGTCTGAATTATATGGCTATGGCTTACAATTATGCACAAGTCTATGCGAAGTGGCTGCAGCCGCTTCCCATAGACTTGTGTGTAATTTCAAGCCACAGCAGATTTCCAACACGGCCAGAGCTAGAAATGAGAATAGGAGGGCACAGACAAAAATTACACCTCCAGAAGTTATGCACGTTTCTGACGTTAAAATGCAATCCAAAAATCTAGCAGCTCGCATACACTTTTTTTGCCTACAGATCAGAAAAAAACATTTTATAGTTCATTCAAAGAAAATATAAAGCCAAAATAAAAATCATAACAAAGAAAGCACTTGCATGTTCTGAATAGAGTCCGTGACAAATATGGGCACATTTGCCAAAGCGTACACATTTCTTTCTTACAAAAAAGGACACTCTTGTATATATGTCCTGTCATACCCCCATTAAAACAATACAAAATAACAGAAATTTGAATATTTCATCTTAACGTGTGAGTTCAAATTAATGCAATATAAATCTAAAATCTAGCCTCTATATGTGCCCCAAAATAACAGCAGTAAATGTTTTTTTTAAAAGCAAATGATACAATAGAAAATTTTTACAAAGAAAAACTAATGTGCATGCTACATGTACATGTTGGTTGATAAATACAATGTACAGACAACATTCCACAGTGATAATGCAAAAGTAAAACGGATAAAACCAAAGTAGCACTTAAAATAAACACTGATAAACATAGGCATATGTATGCATTCACTTTAAACGAAGAAATATCCCATCCCAACATAATTACTGTATGCAGAATTATCTTCAAGCAAACTTGTATCCTCGATCCTGATTGGTCAATCCATGGCAACAACAGTATGATATTATGCCGTATTGCACGGTCCATATCGCACCCTGCGTATTGCGCTATTCCAAGATGTGAGCGATATTCAAACTGCATGCGCTAAACCGCTAAAAGGTTCGCGTAAAGCATGGAGGTCCATGCCTAAAGCGCGCTAGTTCCCTCTTTTCTGTGCGTCAAGTTTGCTTGAAGATGAATTCGTTATCGCGCTCGTGGAACACGGAAAATGTAGTGCGTCTGTGTCCCACATTTCGGCCTCGTGGTATGTGGGACACAGATGCACTACATTATTCCGTGTTCCACTCGCGCTCGCGGGATAACTTATAATACCTACACGTATACAATTTTATATTTCGAGTCACAAGACGGGTATACATGTACATGTATGTTCATGAAGTCTCTTTCACACTTTTGAATTGCAATAAAGTTCATGTAAATTGCCAGCTTTTTTGGATGGCTCAAAGTATATTTTTTTTCATTTAAATAGCTTGAACACTGTTGGTTTTGTATTCTATAACACAGCTGAGCATACCAATTTGGTAACTGCATTTTACAAATTTGTTTACATGTAAATTTATGCTGTAAAATAAATATTCAAACAGGAGTACTGAACAGATCAAAAAACTATAGTAATAACATAAGCAACAAAACATGAAAGAATTTTCTTGTAATGTAATGTTTTGATGATGATAACTTTTTCCAAACCAATCAATTGTTCCTTTCACAATAATTATACGGATGACTTCAGTTTTGTGTCAATTGGTAAACTAATGACAAAAGTAGATGTTCTGATTACCCATCATGCACTTGCTTTTCAATATTTTTCTTGGTATTATTGTCACCAGATGCATTGTCTTTGTTCTCATATCACCTTTTCTTTTTGAAAGAGTTTTGTGAATTTTTGTAAGCTCTGACAGCTTCTACATGTCACTTGGTGGTCGGTCGGTCTGTCTGTCCCGAAAATTGACCAAAAGTATGATGTTCCATACAAGTACATGTATGTGCCATTGGCTTTGTATTTTTCGGTGTCGCATTTTTAAACTCTGGAACAGATCATTCCGATCGATTTCATGCAAGACTCTCATGAAAGACTTCTTGCAACACAGCCAGAGCTTATTGTGCACTCACACTTGTTTATTTTAACGTGAGAATTTCTGCAATGCATTTGGTGCTTGCTTTCGGAAACGAAGCTTTCATTATAACTAAGTGATTTTTTTCACAAGTTGAACAGAGTATGTAACCAGATAACGTTTTTGAAGAGTTTTATTGATTTTTTTTAGTATTAAATATTTTTTTTTTTTGCTTGAGAGTTTCTGCAAGTGGTAATAAGCGCTTTCGGAAAGGAAGCATTCATTATTAAAAAGTGGTTTTTGACAAGCTGAACAGAACATTTTACCAAATAACCCACAATCTGATCGGTAAATTGAAGTACCTGGTGCCCCAACCCTCCATTCTACAGGGGATTGCTTCCCATGCCAATTTCAACAAGGATTCAAAACGTTGCATGCTCATATGTATGTGTTGGTTATTATGTTGTGTATGTTATTTACTTCCCATGCCAATTTCAACAAGGATTCAAAACGTTGCATGCTCATATGTATGTGTTGATTATTATGTTGTGTATGTTATTTGCTTCCCATGCCAATTTCAACAAGGATTCAAAACGTTGCATGCTCATACATGTATATATGTATGTGTTGGTTATTATGTTGTGTATGTTATTTGCTTCCCATGCCAATTTCAACAAGGATTCAAAACATTGCAAGCTCACATGTACATGCATGTGTTGGTTATTATGTTATGTACATGTATGTTATTTGCTTCCCATGCCAATTTCAACAAGGATTCAAAACGTTGCATGCTCATATGTATGTGTTGATTATTATGTTGTGTATGTTATTTGCTTCCCATGCCAATTTCAACAAGGATTCAAAACGTTCCATGCTCATACATGTATATGTATGTGTTGGTTATTATGTTGTGTATGTTATTTGCTTCCCATGCCAATTTCAACAAGGATTCAAAACGTTGCAAGCTCACATGTACATGCATGTGTTGGTTATTATGTTATGTACATGTATGTTATTTGCTTCCCATGCCAATTTCAACAAGGATTCAAAACGTTGCATGCTCATATGTATGTGTTGGTTATAACATGTACATGTATGTTATGAATGTTATTTGCTTCCCATGCCAATTTCAACAAGAATTCAAAACGTTGCATGCTCATGTAATGTGTTGGCACAGAGAAAACAATCATGTAGAAAAATTGTTAACACTTTGCCTCAATGAAACTTTAACCCACTTTTTTATTTTTAAGGCCGCATAATGCTTTCAGGGTCACTGCTTCAACATTAAACATTTAGTACACAGCTGAACAGGTGCAGATTGATATTGGTGTCATTCATGACTTATAAAATTTCAGCTGATTGATGAATACAAGTACATGTACATGTACAATACAAAACGGTTGGTGGGTTTGAATTTGTTCACACTATACAAATGGACAGAGGATTAGTTTTTTTTTTACACAGTTTACAAATACAAAGTTATACATTTTTGTGTCGCTGTGTACACACACATTTCAATTGCGGTTCAATGCCCAAATTACGAAAATTTTGTTTACGACATTCTTTCAAAAAGTCAACTACTTTTTATGAGGCCAACACTATTTGTACAATTTACAGGTGAATTTTCAATAATTTCAAATAGCGGCACAGGAGATCGGGTCAGAAACTTGACAATGGCAGTTGTACTTCTATCCCTAATTACTTTTTTACAGTATCAAGCAGAAAGTGTCAAACGTAACCACCACAGACCTGTAAAATAAAGTCGCCCCATTCATCTACATGTACACAATATGGTACAAGTTATCAAAAATACAATTTTTTAGATGATTTTGTGCAAATATTTACATGAATTGGGCACACGTGAATTGTGCCACAGGCAGAACTAGTACCCACTAATACAAACAACCATTACATGTATTTAAAGAAAGGAATGAGTATTTACTGTAAAATTTGGTAAGTTTGCGAGTTAGCCACGCCCCTTTGACAACCCTATGCAACTTTGGGACATTGAGTTTTGTTTGTCTCAGATTTTGCGCATTCCACGTCCATTTGTATTTCACGTAATCGGACAATATTTCATAAGCTGCATGGACGCGATTCTACTGTGATAGGTCAATTTGGCGTACATGTGAGTCATTGATTAAATCAAATTAGAATTCAAGGCGTTATGATGCGATACACGTAGTGTACACAGTGATTCCTATAGCCCACCATGGCAACAGACAGCCATGTTATTTTTTCAGTTTGTGTTTATGGTGCTCACTTTCAGGGACCAATTTATACCATAATCTCTGTTACATGTACCTTTTTCTTTGAAAACAAGAAGAAAATATGCAAAAACCTTTCAATGTTTTGCAATAAAAAAAATGACTTTCTTAAAAGCTGCCCTACCCCCATATATACCAATATGTACACTTAATTTACTCAATAAGACTTGTACAATTGTAGAATATGCAAACAGTGATAATGACTGAAGGCACTCATGGCATAAACACTGTACAGGATGCATCCTCCCGCAAGATGTGACTTTAAAGGTTTTGGGCCGAGCTGATTATCATAATTAGATGAAAACATGTGCCGATACATGTACATACATGTGGTGATTTGTGGTCCACAACGATAGTGAAAGATCCAATTCCAATCTCCTTACATTAATTTTCCCAGCAACACAACCCTTACACCAGTAGCACATGAGGATTTACATGGCGGTGAGTACTTGACATCGAAAGATCCACACGTACAATGTTTGTTCATGTCTACCTGGGCCGAATTTTACGGTGTGCCTTAGAAAAAAGTCGTTCGCTAACCGAGCATCTGTCCACTTCATGAAGACTGTAGGCAGCTAGGATAACAGAAAAGCATGCCTGTGTTGTTGTCGAGTCATCACAAGTCTGCTCACAAGTAACAGGTGATGAACAATAACAAAGTCCTGCCTCTGTCACAAGCAGAGCCACCACCATATTGGTCCCAGGTCAACGGAGGTCACAACCTCAACTGGCATCTGTGCAATTGAAGGCCAGGTACACATACCTAGTGAATCACAGGACTGACTGGAGTTATAAGACCACATCAGTATACTGGTCCTTGAGAGGGCACCACTGCATCAACTCTTGTGGTTATCCTCATGTTTCACAATGCTCTTCAAAGAGTACATATGTCGCCATCATCGTCATCATTAACCATTGCTTCCGACGGAGACATAGCACCATTTTCTTGCACATGATCTTCCGAGTGTTGGTCTGAGTCCGGTGCTGTAGCTCCTCCATGTGAGGCTTGGTGGTCACTCCCCGGAGATCCTTCACGCAATGAAGGTGGCTCTCCCCTCTGTTGCTGTTGTTCTTCTTGTCGCTCGTCTGTGTTCAAATTATTGGTTTGCTTTGTCAAGTCCTTGACTTCATCTTCATCACTGTCGTCGTCAATGTCATTCAGCGAAGCGATGGATTTCCTGGATAGTGATGAGGAGGCAGGCACATAGACACGATTCCTGCCTCCTGATAGCGTGTTCCTCTGATTGGCCGGCTTGACAGTGATGATCAAGTTGGAGCTGTTGGCCACCATCATGTCCGTCACCTGATCCAGAGTCTTACCGCTGACCTCAATGCCGTTGACTTCTAGGACCTCGTCGTTGACCGCCAAGAGTCCTGTGCTTTCCGCCAGGCCGCCGGGCACGAGCCGCGAGACGAAGATCCCCGGCACTTTCTCCAAACCATGGGGAGTGACCCGAACGCTAGTCCCGTCCCGGATGTAGAAACCGAGGGGTTTCTCTGAGCCGTGCTTGTGGAGTTTGACTCGGCGGTGGGTCTCGGGGACTATGTCTACGTCGATAATGGCGGAGACGCGGCGGAAGTCATGGGGCAGGCTGATGGGTAGTACTAGTTTCATGGGTTTTGGGGTGCTGCCGCCCACCAGACTGAACTTGCTCTTCTTCTTGGAGCTGCCATACATGTTGAAGGGTTGCGTCTCGGAAGTTTCATCTGAAAGAAAATGGCACAACCATCAAAACTTCAGTTATTCTTCCTAAATGCAAGAACAACATGCTAGAGACAACCAATACAAAATATTAACACCAAAGCAATACAATTTACAGCTTCAAAGAACAGTTTCAAAAATGGCCTTAAAAAACTTGCAAAATTTATAAACCACTGCAATCAGCTTCTGACTGGTTTGACCTGATGTGTACAAATATATTAGAGGGCCTGATGTTTCGACACTGGCACTAGTGGCAGGATCTTTCTCAAAGACGATCCGACAGTAACTAAAAGTTGTCTTTCCTTTGTTTTGACAATCCCAGTCATCCATACTTTTCCAACCATCTGTTGGCAGAAGAACCACAATGACATTGCAAAAGAACATTCTCTATTGGGACATTAGGCCCAAAGTCAAAACTGGCTTGGCTTTACCCAGTCCCGAATCCACCAAATTACTGTCTAACCTCGGTGTGCATTTTGATGGATTCAGAGAACAGGGTGATAGGCCTGTTCTAGGCCATTTTGGGGTACAAATATAGGCGCTGCAATGACACCATTTTGGGTTTAAACAATTAAAGGTGAATTCCAGGTTAGTGAATTCCATTTACCATCTTTACATGTTGTAATTTTTGTCAAAAATGTTAACTTTTACAAACTTTTATTTGAGAGTGACATAACTAATACCAAATCTGATTTACTGGTATAATCAATTTGACATTGGGTTTTGCCCTTCACATATGTATTTTATAAGCACCGTATACTCAGTGTTATCCCAAAATTCACAAACTGCACGGGTAGGACTCGAACCCTTGATTTCCTGCTTACCGTAATTTTCGGAATATAAGCCGCGCGGCGTATAAGCCGCAGCACTTTTTTTCTGTTTTTAAACAGGGGAAATATTGGTAATTATTGTTCCCAAGAAAGTACACCCCTTCATTACCACCAAAAGGTGTGGTCCATGGGGAATATGCAGCATGCATGCAGCCCTAGAATCGCGTACGGCCGGTTGTCGATGTCGAAGAGACACCTAGCTTTCACTAGCCGTACTTTTTACCGCTCAGTACCTTTTCGTGGGACGTGCTTTCGGTTTGTTAATGACTTTCTTAATTGATGATTCATTTCGGCAATTTGCAACAAATCTTTTCTTATACCAGTACATTAAATATACATCTGAATATCATTTCTATTCTTCTAGTCTCGGTGTAAAAGCCCCCCTCTGTATAAGCCGCAGTAAACATTTTCATGGGCAAATTCAACGTATAAGCCGCGGCTTATATTCTGAAAATTACGGTACTAGTGCAGACGTCTCACCATATACACCGTGCTGGAAACTATTCACAAAATGGACTCTGCGTCGGGTGATGTAAGGTCAATATTGGGTTCTGCCATTCGCCGACGTATTTTCTAAACACCGTATACTCAGGGTTGTAAAGTTTGTGAATTCTTTTCTCACAATCGCTTGGAATAACACCGAGTATACACTGTACAGTGTTTATAAAAATACGTTGATTATACAAAAATACGTTGGTGAAGGGCAAAGTATACCCAGTATTGAAATTTACATCACCTCGACACAAAGTCCATCTTGCATTGTTACAGCGAAATCACTTGCTCAAAATACGACCTACTGTGGTTTAACTAACCTTTCCTCTGCACGACCAAGCGCAGTAATGGCTTGGCCATAGTGAGTGCTTTGTGGTAGTTGTCGTCATTGTTGATTGGTAGTAGCTCCCCCTGGGGATCTGTGTAGCCAATCAGGAAGGGGATCTTGCTCAGTTGGTGGATCTTCTCTAGGAATGTGTAGAAGTCTTCAAAGGTGGCTTGGGCCGTGTGCGAGACGGAGAAGCGACGAAACTCAGCATCGAGCTGTGGTGAACAATGAAAAAGGAAGAGGTCTGTTATTGTAATGCTATTTTTTTCTTCAATTGGTTTAAAGGGAAAATACAACATTTGCAAACATCAAAAAATAAAACTACCAAATCATTTTGAAATACCTTGCTGGACTGTTAGTGAATGACAGTGTAAAGCATCCTGTAAAATCATGGCACCTGGTATACTGTCATTTTCAAGAAAAGTGGTATTTTTGTATCAATTTCCAACGCTGGTCGGCCGACCAGCATTGGAAAAAAACTGGCTTTTTTTCAAATACTGGCCCCAATTGACCACCGCACTTGTTTGCAATCGATTACACACCTATGAACGGGTACAAGCCAGCTAGACTGGTTCCCTGACCTTACAATTTCCCAATGTATGTAAACTGCTCTGTTTCTTCTTATATGGTGTCAGGGAACCAGACTACAGGAAAATGATTGTTTTTCTTGGTTTTTATAGCATTTTCGAACCCAAAACCTCATAAAAGTCAGTGTAACTATATTTGCTATATATTTCCAACCCCCCAATTCCATCCATTTCTGAAAATTACAGCAAAAGCAAATGATGTATATTCCCTTTAACTAAAAATAAAGAATAAATGTTTATGCAGAAAGATTACTGCCTGGGCCTGGAATTTCGAGTAGGCTTTGGACATGAACTCTTATATTACTTTTTGTGTACTGCCATTTGTTGATCAACATGCCTACTATATGTATTTGGGTTTAACACTTTGATGTGTATTTTTGTATGAAATTTTTTTTTGTTATTGGTACCGGTATCTATAGGTGTGGTGTATTTAGTGTTTATGACAGTGATATTACACGTAAACAAATTAATTTTCAGTTTGAAAATACATGTATGGTTGGTTACGTACACGATGTTTCTTTGTTCACCACACAATATTACATCGTCCCCCATCACACACTATTGTTGTCTGGCAGTGTAATGGATATATTTTATTTTGTTTGTGCTTTTTTTTTTTTATCGTCAAGTTGGCTATTGTTATGATTACCTTCTTTTTAAAAATAGTTTTAATGTAAAGCACATTGAGGAACATATATGCTTCATGATGCACTATACAAATGCTGCTTTATTATCTTTAACAAAAGCACTTTACAATGGAATAATTTCCTTAATGAACGTTAATGAAAGGACAAATCCAGCATTACGTTATGTCTGCGACAGCGCTTTTTGAATAACAATGTATTTTTCAAATCGTATACATCCATCATCTAGTGATGGTCCAGGAGAATACAGAAAAGCAGTTTTGGATATTTCTCTGAATCATTAAAGATATCATAATTAATTGGCTCTGTCTTGACATTACATTTTCTTTTCATAATGCTGAAATGACCGGACAGCTACCGGGTAAAGCCCAGGCCAAAACAAAATAATAAATGTAGTTCTGCTTCCGGTTTCCCTACCTACATACATGTATGTACCCTATTCTGACAGCCCGTACCCTAATTTTTTTATTGGAAAATGAGAAAAAAAACACCTAAACCATCACTTTATACCTTTTAGCCTTGACTACGCAAAGACGCCTCCATATAATCGTACACACAAAAATGGCCCCCCCCCCAAAAAAAAAGATTCCCTACCTACCTACCCTATTTTCGAATGCCATGTAATCGGAAGCAGAATTATTTTTTTTTTTTTGCCCCATCACCGGCTTTGATGAGGAACACAACATTGAGAGCAGATTCCAACGGCCTGAAATTGCCACAAAATTCACTTAACCAAGGAGTCTTTGTGGACCCATTGTGTTCATTATTGCAATGTCCTCCTGGAAAGATGTATAAGACAGGAATTTCAAATGTTCAACTTTTGTTGCTGTTTTTTGGGGGTCAACGCAAATCAGAAACAAATCATTAACACAAAATATTCTTTTGATGACTCTTAATACCTGCATCTTCTTTGCGCACCAGATAACAATTTCGTTATTAACTGAGCTGAGAGAGGCGGCAAATTGTATATGCATACAGGACATTCAGATAAGGAACCAACAACTTGGATTTAGAGTCAAGTACACAGAACCTCTGGAATGTTAATGTTCAGAGTTCAACACTGATCTCAGAGTCTAGATTGTGAGCATAGTACATGTTAGTAGGCCTGTATGGTATGATTAATGAGTGTCTGGTCAGTGGTCACACTGTTCAGTACTTGTACTTGGCAACATAAACAATGGGCTTCAGCCTGAATTTCAATCCTTCACCCACATCATGACAGGGAAAACAAAATTGGGGGGGGGGGGGTTTCAGCTCTGTTATCCTGCTGAGCCAACAAGATCTGGATTTTGCCGAATGTTGGGCCATGGAATTGGAAGGGTAAAAAAAACAATCTCTTTTTATCCAGGATTTGTTGGATTTCATGCACAGGTACATGTACAATGTAGTGAACAAACACCCTTTGAGTTCTAGATTTTGGATTTTGTTGATTTCTTTCAGAAGCTTCAAACATAGACCTTTATGAAAGAGATGCATTCGAAGAACCACAAAATGGACATTTTCAGCATATTGCTGCATGTACCAGTACCTATAATCAAAAGCTCAAAGGGTCGGACTACATGAATCTTTCATTACAAAAAAAACAGTAGAGCCACACATTGCTCTCCCTTTCTCAGGTTTTGTCTGTGGCTGACACATATTACTTGTTGAACTCTAAAAAGAAGTCAACTAGAACACTGCCTCCAACTGTTTCTGCCAGAATTTAATAATTAAAAGGCCCTCCAAATTCAATTTTTTATTTTTTTTAATGTACATTTGTGTTCCATTTAAGATTACTTTCAATTTTTTGTTTTGCCATTTTAAAGGGTATTAGTGCCTTTTTTTTGTTTTTTTTATGCTAATGCAACTTTCCATATTCATGAGCAAAACTGTGATGTCATTCCAGGCAGAAACCTCAATGTTATTTCAGCACAAGAAGTTGCTAGAATTTTGGCTATTTTGCTGTCGTAAATTTTTTTGATTTGTTGATTTGATTCGTTGTTGTGTAAGTACATGGCAATAAGCCAATGAGCAACCAACAAATGTTTCGAATGAGCACATTTTGGTTTCACAATTTGAACACAAAAACCCTGAACTGAACAGTGTCTTCCTGAAAAGATGTCACAGCAACAGCGCCCTCAGTTGTCCGGAAAACCATGGGCAATTTTAAATGTTTAAAGAAGTGCAATTTTGAATGACAATAACCCCAAAAAATGTGTTCCTAAGAAAAATTCATCACATGAACCCTTTAAACAGCACACTCTGAACACTGCTCAACAGAAACACAGGGCTAAATTCCATGCTTCATAAATCATTATAAATGCACACACTGCAAGGTCCTTCAACCCACATAAAAAAGCCACCAGGCAAGTTATTTTACCCCGGATGGTTCATTATTTCCAGAGCTTGAATTTCCTACCTACCCTGTTTATCCAAAACAATTCCCACTTTCACTTTTTACCGGCATTGCTAAGAATTCGGTTTGAAATAGTATCCCCAAAAACTTGAGGCTGAGTGTAATATAGCAGGGTGAAAAGGTTGCATGCCATGGGGAGTGGAGTGTGGTGTAATCAGGGGCTTGTGAGCAAGGTTAGATGGGGTTGGTTTTGAGGTAATGGGGCGCCCCACTGAGATTCCAGTCATATTGGGTGTCTGCAACTGCGAAGGGTGATAGGCTCAAATCTCTGATCATAGAGCAAGGTGGAATGGTGTTTCCAGTAAACAAGCATATTGGCCCAACTCTCTTATCCTTATAAAAGGCATACATGTAGATCATTTGCTGTTCATGCATTTTATTTGTTTACATCACTCAACATCCAACGAAGAATGTTCCAAACCTAACCTGTTGAAGTTTCAGTTGTGTCACGAAAAAAATTACTGAATCCTTAATTAACCCTAACCCACCTCACTCCTCCAAAATCCTCCTGGCGGTTTTGGAGGATTCTAGAGGATTGAGGATGAATGGTGATTGAATCAAATGAGGATTCTGGAGGATTGAGGATGAATGGTGATTGAAGCACATGAGGATTTTGGAGGATTGAGGATGAATGGTGATTGAAGCACAAGAGGATTTTGGAGGATTGAGGATGAATGCATTTTGAGGCAGGACTGTCTGATGATTTTGAAGGATTTGGCGTTGGTTATCCTTCATTTAAACACGAGTGCAAAGTTTTGGGATGAGGAGGATTTTGGAGGATTGAGGATGAATGCATTTTGAGGCAGGACTGTCTGACAATTTTGAAAAATTTAGGCGGAGTTGCAAAATTTTGGAAACTTTTCGAGGATTTTGGAGGATTGAGGATGGTTGTAGGCAACAAGGGCCTAGGGGGTTAGGGTTAAGCTCTATTAATTCAACCATTGTGCAGAAACCCAATGCCAAATTCCTTGTACACAGTACATGTACTTAAAGGGAATGTACAACATTTGCTTTTGCTGCAATTTTCAGAAATAAATGGATTTGGAGGATTAGTATGTTATAGCAAATATTGTTAAACTGACTTGTTTCACGTTTTGGGCTTGTTTATGCTGGAAAAACCAAGAAAACCAATCAGTTTCTTGTAGTCTGGTTCCCCGACCCCACTCAAGATGCAACGGAGAAACGTAAAGACTTTGGGGAATTGTAAGGTCAAAGAATCACTCTAGCAGGTTTGTACCCCTTCACAGGTGTGTAATCTATTGCAAACAAAATGCGGATAACTAAATATGAAAAAGTAGGAATTGTTTTTGAAAAAAAGCCAGTTTTTTTTTCCAACGCTGGTCGGCCGACCAGCGTTGGAAAAATACAGTTGTTCTTGAAAATGTCAGCACACCAGGAGCCACGATTTTACAGGATGATTTAGACTGTCAATCCCTAACAATTCAGCAAGGTATTTTGTGATAATTTGATCATTTCGTTTTTTGATGTTTGCAAATGTTGTATCTTCCCTTTAAACCTTTCAAAAGGGACACCAAGTCTGGTGTGCCTGTGACAGAAGCTGGGTTGTTCCTTCCTCAGACCTACAAAAACTT